TTCACTAGTTTGACTTTATGCTATCAATAGAACTTCACACCTAGCAACGAAAATATGACCATAATAAATAAATTATTCTGGTTGAAATCTTTGTAACCCATACGTCTGAAGTTATATCATAAACTAGAGAAGTTAAGTTCGTCTGTTTTGTATTATGATACAGACAGTATTATATGCATTTCAGACGGATCTAGCGATCCAACTTTAGGGGATTATCTTGGCGAGTTTACAGACGAGTTAGACAGACACTATATAACATCCTGAGTCAGTATGGTCCAAAAAACCACGGAAAGTCATCCTGTAAAATTAGAGGGCTTACCCTCCATTTCATCAACAGCAAAACAATGAACTTCTCATCAATGAAATGTATGATAACAGATATATTCTGTTCTTTTCAGTCTTCTATAACTGTGACTAATCAAAGGAAGATTTTTAGAAACTTAAAGACACAAACTGTTTACAACAAGGAAGAAAAGAAGAATTATCGTCCGGTTTACACCAAACGACACATCCTTCCAGTCTTTAACACCCTTCCATATGGATAATCAATTTTTCATATTCTAGAATTAACTCCTCATCGTGTGGACTGAAAAGGGGGCATGTGCAGGGCCTTGGGATAGATCCCAAGTGAACTCAAACATGATCTATATAATATATTTCTCACGTTAAAAGAATGATGGCTTTGGCTAAAATCGTTGATTTACACGCTGTTCTTTGTTGAGTATTTGTAATATAAGGTGCATTTGTCCAGCGTATAAGAATCGATTTAAGCTAATTATTCAGTTTAGTTTCATTATATATTATGTAGTGTTTAATTAAATATCAAAATGAAAAATCTGTATACATAAATGCTGTCATTCTGATTTTGATAAAATAAAGAGGTGATAATATTAACTTCTTATTGATCTAAATAAAACGAATTAATAACAACAGAGACATCTACGATCAAATCACAACCAGTTCAGTAACAATACAAAGAAGGAAGGACCATCTTGAAAAGAAAAAGAAACCAAAATCTACCTGGATATGTGGCACGTGTGTTTTTAGTGTTAACAAAGACTATTGTGAAGTTTGTAACATAATACATGGGAAATTGTTTTTTTTTTTAAAGAGGGATGCCAACATGATAATTTGTGTTCCTCAAGATATTTTAGACAATCAGTATGTTGTGTGTGTAACTGTTATGATATTGATTGTCAGTGTAATAAATCGGAATAAAATAAAATAATCATTTGGTTTATAATTTAAGGTCCTTATTTGAATTTGGAAAACCAATGAGTTTAAATGAAAGATACTGAAATAAATATCAAGAAATAAAAGCGTTACTCAGATTAGACGAGCACAAGATCCACTTTGCCTTCAAGTGTTATGTGTCAGTAACCACATGACGATATTTCTATTTTCTAAAATTCAAGATTTAGCCTAATGCTGCCCTGTATATAACCAAACTGATCAGTGGCCTTGAATATCAAACACATTGGACTGTAACCATCCATTTTTCTTAAGCTATTTCAAGTGTAGACGATATGACATCAGTGTTTCCAAAGTGGTTTTGTGTACTGTAGAATTACTGTCTGTATGTATGTGATCATATGATGACCTTTGTAATTCTTAGAAGTCTGTTTCCAGATTGTATGCGTGAACACTTTCAAAGCTTTATGCAATTTGGTATTTTAAATAATATTAAAGTTAAACAGAAAGTCGTTTATTTATTATATTTAGTTGTAGGACAATTATTGGTTATATTAACTGTCTCATTAAAATGATATGTATGATTTACTTGTGAAAGTGGAACATTAGGTTTCTACAGAACATTGTCTGAAAAAAGCTATGAACAGTTTATAAATATATTCCATGCTTTTGCAAGACTTGTTTATGCAAAGACAGTTGGAGGTGTGTTTGCCAATGACCAGTGACTATATAGAAAATGGATGAATAAACAGTAAGTCATTCATTTATTATGTTTCAATTGTAGCAAATTGTGTTAGTAAAGATGTTAAATATGCATAATAATGATTTTCACATAATTAAATCTAAGCATTGGTGTCATTATCACATGTTGAAGTATAGTATCCGTCTTTATATGAATGGATAAACATTAAGTCATTCATATATCATTTTTAGTGGTAGCAAATTGTAATAGTACAGATGTTAAAATATGCAAAATAATGGTTTAAAAATAATTAAATCTAGACATTGATAACGTAATCATATGTGGAAGTATAGTAACACTGTCACAGCACATTTGTTAAAATCCTATGGACAATCATTAAAATACTGATCTTAATATAGACATTGATTATATGTGGAAGTATAGTGTCTGCCTTTTTGAAACTCGTGTAAGATAAAACTATAAAGTATCATGCGTAAAATTAAATATCTTGTCAAGTTCTTGCATAAATTCAAATTAGTAAAGTGCAAGTTTAATTATTGCATAATATTTAATAAACGTTTTACTGATGACGCATTTTGAAACACATTGAAAATCACTTTGCTTAAGTCATATTGTTGCTTGCTTACTTATGTCTTAGCATTTTTCCTTGAATCCATGATAAAATTTGATCTTTTTAATTTTTAGCAACATGCAAATAATAATTTGAAAGGCATATCACTATATCTAGTTAAAGAAATAATCACAAAGGTATAGCACAGTAACTGTTAAAAATAATTTGAAACACATAGATAATATAAGGTATTTTTTGTCCTAGCATTCATTTTAATTATTTATTTCTGATTTCATTTTTGTATGGGTTACCAAGATTTCAACCAGAATAATCTATTCATTATGGTCATATTTTTGTTGCTAAGTATCGAATTATATTGACAGCATAAAGTCAAACTATTGATAGTGTAAGTTTTAATTAATGTATAATATTTCATGATCTCGTCCTTTTTAGATGTAAATGGTAAGGAAATGTAATTAACTAATGAATTAGTATTAAGCAACCTTTTTAAGGACGATTTAAATTATTAGGAAATGTAATTAACTAATGATTTAGTGTTTTAAACCGATTGTATTAGATATAGTCATGTTGAGACATCAAACAGTAAGTTTTAACTATTTCATGTAATCGTCCTTTGAAAACGATTTAACTAGTCAAGAAATTGAATTAATAATTAAGTGATAAGCGCCCTTTTTAGGACGATTTAAGTAATCAGGAAAATTAATTACTTAATGAATTAGTCTTTTATATCGACTGTATTAATTATATTAATGTTGAGACATGTTATGCTGGTTCAATGGAACTATGACGTCATGGCCGCCTGTCATGACAACCTAAAAACACGTTTTCTACTTCATGGAATTATTACATAATACCCTGTCATGGCGGCCTAGCAACGCGTCCTTAACAATGCGGCCTCTGGTGATAATTTGTGAAAACACGATGGCATCATCCCCTTCCCCTAATGCCTGGCGAACCCCCACTGAGGCGGCATCCTTTGGAGGCGCAACCCCCCTAACTACTACCGGGCTTTCTAATACTAAGGACAGATCAGGGTTTCTAACATCAAGGACAAGCATTGGTTTCTTGCATTGGGAATAGACCAGCACCTAAAATATTCAGAATAGATCACATTTTACTACAATAAAGACAAAAGATTGGTTCATAACACTGTGAATAAACTTGTTTCTAATATTCTGGATATGTCAGTGTGTCTATTATAAAAGACAGACACTACTTTCCAACCCTGAAAAAAGACCAACGTTTTTAATATTCCGAATAAATTAAGATTTCTAGCATAAAAGGCAGAAGCTGGATTATAGCACTGAGAACAGAGAACTGAGAACTGGGGTTTGTAATACTAAGGATAGAAAATATTTTTTTAAAGTTACGGTTTGTAATATTAAGAATAGAAAGGATTTTTAAAGTTAATGCCAGATTTTGTTTTCCAGTTTTCAGAGTATGCTGTAGTTTCGAGTATTCGGAGATCTAGGTGCATAACATCAAATACAAATGTTGGTTTTCCAGCGCAGAGAACAGACCGCAGCTTCTAATATTCTAGGTAATTCAAGGTTTCTAAGACTAACCCTAGTTGCTAATATTGAGAATAGTCTGGATTTTCTAACTGTCAGAATATTTCATGTTTTCCATACTTGAAGTAGGAACATTGGTTTATAATATTCAGTATAGATTAAGGTCAACCTAAAGTGTAACATCAACCTACATCCTAGTTTCCGGATGCTGGTTTCCAACATTAAAAGTAGACCGGGGTTTCTAATAAATAAAATATATCAGGGTCTCTAGTAGAAACGTTGGTTCCAACACTTAGAATATAAGCCAATGTCTCTATATTTCGGGTAGATAAGAGTTTCTTACATCAAGGACAGAAAACAGGCTGTAATACTGAGATTTCTAATGATGAGAACAGATTAAGTTATATAATATCAGAGACAGACATTAATTTTCAACACTGATGATAGATCACCGTTTATAATACATTAAGACTATTACATGGTTTCTATTATTAAAGACAGACGCTAATTTCCAGAACTGAGAAAATAGCGAGGTCTCTGGTATTCAGATACACTTGTTTCAAACATCAAATAGAAATGCTTGTTTCCAACAATAGATGAGAGCAAGGTTTTTATTATTCAATGTTGCTCAGGATTTCTAACACTGATTTCAAACACTGGTTTCCAACAATAAGATTATACGCGGTTTCTAATATTCAAGTTGTTTAGGATTTCTAACACTAAAGTGTAGTTTATGGTTTCCAAAACTCAGAATAGACCAGAAATTCTAATATGTATTTTACATTTGGGGCTTCTATCATCTAAGACAAATGAAGGATTCAGACTGTAAGTTTTCTCGGGTTTTCTCATGTTCAAGATAGATTGGGGATTCTATAATTAAAAAATGATGGTTTATAACACTGAAAATAGACTTGGATTTTAATAGTCAGGGTATTTCAGTGTATCTAGCCTTAAAGGCAAATTGATTTCTAGGAATAATAATAGACTGGTGTTTTTTAACATTCAAGAGTGGAGTTTCTATCATAAAAACAGTTTATTGTTTCCAGCTCTGATATTGGATTTGATTTTCACATATCTAGAATAGATCAAGGTTTCTAATATCAAAGTCAGACACTGGTTTTCAGCAATGAGATTAGACTGGGGTTTTAATATTCAGGATAGATCGAGGTTTTTAAGATGAAAGACCTATGTTATTTTTTGAATAGTGGGGATAAACCAGGGTTCTTAATTCTCAGGCTATTATAGGATTTTCATCCTTAAAAACAGATGCTGGTTCCAACACCGAGAATAGACCACGGTTTCTAGCATTTGGGTTTATAACATAGAAAACAAGTACTTGTTTACAACAAAAAGAAGAAACCTGGGTTTCTAAATTCATAATAGATTAAGATTTGTGATGCAAAAGACGGAAGCTGGTTTACAGTATCTAGAACAAATTGGAGTTTGATAAAAAGAATGAATCAAGGTTTCTGAAAACGAAGGGAGACATTGGTTTTCAGCAAAGAGAATAAACCAGAATATATATTATTGAGTATTGATCTGGATTTCTAATACAAAAAACAAACGTTGGTTTTCAGCAGTAATAATAGGCCCTGGGTTTCTAGTGTTCAGTATCGATCTGTGTTTCTGACATTAGATACAAATAAATGCTGGTTCCAACACTTAGATTAGACCAGGGTTTCTATTAGTCAGGACAGATCACGGTTTTTAACCTTAAAGTGAGAGATGCGGGTCTCGACAACAAGATTAGATCAGGGTTTCAAATAAACAGGATAGATCAGGGTCTCTAGCATTAAAGACAGATGCAGGTTCCAACACTGGGATTAGAGCAGGGTCTCTAATGGTAAGGATAGATCAGGATTTATAAAATAAAAACTAAAAAATGGGTTCCAACACTGAATTAGAGTGTGGTTTCGAATATTCAGCATAGATCAATGTTTCTAACATCACAAACAGACGCTTGTTTCCTGTAACGAGAATAGAGTGGCGTTTGTAATAATTTGGATAAACCAGTATTTCTATTATTACACACAGTTGCTGATTTCACACGAAGATTAAACTGTGGTTTCTAAAACTATAGAAAGATCAAGACTTCTAATAACAAAGATTAGTGTAGGTTTATTACATTGAGAATAGGCTGAGGCGTCTAATACTCAAGATGTATCATGATTTATTACATAACACGATAGAAGGTAGTTTCTAGCATTGACATCTTTATAATAGATTGGTTTATAATACAAATAAGAAATGCCTGCTTACAGTACTAACAATAGACTAGGGTTGCTAATTATCAGTATATATCACAAATCATAACATCGAAGACATATCCTAGGTTATAACACTAAAATTATACCTGAATTTTCTAATATTCAGGATAAATTAGGGTTCCTAACATTAGAAAGATGCTAGTTTCCAACACCTGATATTATACCAGGTTTTATAATTACTTGAGTTGGTCAGGGTTTCTAATATCACTAATAGACACTTTTTTTTCAACATTGTGAATAGAGCAGAGTTATGATATTCAGTACAGATCTGGATTTATAACATCAAAGATAGACATTGGGTTCAAGCACTGAAAATAGACCGAGGGTTTTTAATACTCTTGGTATTTCAGGGTATATAAATTTAAAGACAGACGATGATTTCCAACACTAACACTAAACCAGGATTTCTAGCTTGAAAAGACAGATGCTGGTTACTAGAAATGAGATTACAGCTGGGATTTCTAATAGACCAAAGTTTCTAACATCAAAGATTGATGTTTTTTCTAAACGAACATAGTATTTTGGGGTTGCTAACATTAAGGACAAGAGCTGATTCCGACTCTAATAATGAGATATCGGAGATCATAATATTTAGTACCCAACAGGGTTTCTGAGATCAAACACAGTCATTCATAGACACCACTGAGAATAGACCGAACTTTCTAATAATAAGGATATTTCATGATCTCTAACATCAAAGACTATTGTAGGTTTCAAGCATTAATGATAGACTAGGTATTTCCAACATTCAGAATAGATCAGAGTTTTCATTTTTAATTACAGATACTAGTTTATAGCAACAACAACAACAGACAGGGATTTCTGATATTCACAATAAGCAAGGGTTTCTAGCATCAAATGCAGAAGCGGTCCCACAGAGAGATTAATTTATGGTTTTTAACATTCATAATAGAACAGGATTTCTGTTATAAAAAAAATTATTATTATGTACACAACTGAGAAAAGATGGAAATTTGTAATATTCAGGATGTACCAGAGTTTCTGTTATAATAGAAAGTAGCTTGTAGAGAGCTGAGAGCAGATGGAAGTTTCATGTTTATTTGTTTGATTACAGCAAAGCCACATTGGACTATCTGCTATGTACACCGCATGGAGTTTAATCCAAGATTTTAGCGTCATTAGTCTATAGACTTACTGCTGTCCTACCAGAAGACATGGGGTTTCTACTATTTAGGACAGAATGGGATTTAAGTTATCAAATAAATATCCTTGTGTAAGGAACTAAGAATAGATTGAGTTTTCTAATATTCGGTATGGAACATAATTTCTGTTATCAAATAACGATTCTTTTGTAAAGAAGTAATAATTGAAGAGGGTTTCTAATATTTAGGTTCAAACAGGGTTTGTGTTATCAAAAAAAAGATGCTTGTGTAATGAAGTGAGAGTAGATGGAGGTTTCTAATATTCAGAATGGACCACGTTATCTGTTATTAAAGAAAGATGCTTCTGTACAGACCTAGAAATAGATGGAGGTTTCTAATATTCATTGGGGAACAGTATTTCTATTATTAGTTAAAGATGCTTGTGTACAGACATGAGAACAGTTGGAGGTTTCTATTACTTAGGATGGAACAGGGTTGATGTTATCAAAAATGATGCTCGTGGATGAAAGTAAGAATAGATGGAGTTTTCTAATATTCAGAATAGAACACGGTGTCTGTTATCAAATATAGGTACTTCTGTATAGACTTGAGAATAGATGGAGGTTTCTAATATTCAGAATAGAACACGGTGTCTGTTATCAAATATAGGTGCTTCTGTATAGACCTGAGAATAGATGGAGGTTTCTAATATTCAGAATAGAACACGGTGTCTGTTATCAAATATAGGTGCTTCTGTATAGACCTGAGAATAGATGGAGGTTTCTAATATTCAG